TTATTCCGTTTGTAGACATCCTGTTCAGATCTTCCTGAAGTATTGATTTAGATGCAGAATAAAAAGGTAAAATGCCGTTGACAAAAATAACAGTTGCTCAGATGCTATTTAAAAGATATCTTAGGTTTCTATGCTTCTTGGTAGTTACTCGCCTGTTTCTTCTCAGTTGTCCTTTGTGAGTTTATTTTCCTATGAAACTGTATTGTTAATGCAGCAGCAGTCCAAGTCTACAGCAGGTTACCTTTAGCCACTTGTGCATTCACACAGATGACTGTTTGCTGCGTCTTAATCAGCCAGGATTAAACTCAGCAGGGTGCAGCACCTCAATCCAACAAGCTGATGACACACACCAAGACTCCTCCCTTTTGTCCTCTGGCAGATTTCTCTTGATCTCTCTCTCTCTCTTTCCTTACATCCTAGATATAACCTTCTCAATCTCGTCCAGTATCCCTTCAGCATTAAATCTTTGTCAAAGTGATAAAACCACATTTTAACATATTTTGCACATTGTAAACAATGCATTTCTTGCCTTTATATGGTAGTGTTACAGCATCTGAGGATCTTTTCAAACTCTGCTTATTTGACCTTCCTTATTTCCCAGTCAAATATGTATTCTTTAGCCTGTAGCTCAGGTACAGCTGGTCATGATGAATGACCCTCAAACAACAACTACTGATTTCTTTCCTTATAAGGGTATGACTGATCTTACAGTGCAAGCTTTGCTTGTAGAGCCATTTCACAAATAAGGTATAAACTGATCTGTTGATGGATTTAAACATTACAGGCACAAATATTCATATATGTTTATAATCAGATAAACCTTAAAGGATTAGTTCAACCAAAAGTTAAACTTATGTTATGAATTGCTCACACTTTTGTCATACCAAACCCCTGAGACCTTTGCTCACCTTCAGGACAAAAATTAAGATATTTTAGGTTAAATCGGTCAAATCCTCCATCTATTTTTTTCTCAATTCATTCAAAGTACAGAAAAGGAACCAAAAACATTGTCAAAACAGTCCATGTGATGTCAATGGTTTAATTGTAATTAAGAAACTCGAGAAATACTTTTGTGGGTCAGAGAAAATTGCCTTTTTCTTCTCCTCTGTTGGTCAGAATGCAAGTTTACTAAAGGCAGTTTGAGTCAGCAAAGATACATGAAACTGTTGTAAAACCCATAGTAAACATGTATCCTGATGCGGGAGATGTAGGTGAACAAAGACATTTTATAGTTTGTGGCACAAAAGTGTTGATGGAGCTTCATAAGATTACAGTTGAACCACTGAAGTCACATGGACTATCTTAATATGTGTGTTCCAATGATGGACAAATATCTCAGGGGTTTGGTACAACAAGGTCCTAACCAAAGGTCCTAACCAAAATTCATTATTTCACAGCTTTAATCCAATGGACTGACATTTAATCAGTCAAACACATATGTTTTGGCTATATCACACATTGCATAATACTCCAAAAACTGCCTAATTAAAGGTGCAGTCGGTGATTGTCTTCAGAAGCATTTTTTGTTGTGCTGGTTGAAAGTCTCTTCACAGTCTAATAGTAATGATTAAAGTAAATGATCTAAATGTATTTATATGTATTTTTATATTTTAGGTAAGGCATAAAACAAAAAAAATCATCCAACTAAATGTCGGACTGACATCTCTCAAAATTCCGATAAGTAGCCCAATCTGTCTTTCAGCAAATGCAGATTTGAGCAATTGCGCAGCCATTTGTACGCAGCTCCGCCAACCACTGCACGTACATGAGCGAGAGCACGCGCGCGATCGGTAAAAACCTGCTGAAGGTTTTTAAAAACCTAAATCAATTGTTATGATTACCCGCGATCGCTAACCACCAGAGGTCGCTGGAAAACATTCACACTCATTAAACTACATATCTGCCATGTTATGGACTACAACACCCAGTCAGGCCACACACAAACACACACAACCAGTTCCAGATCCAGACTGATTACACTCTCACAGCTGAAGCCACTCACACAATGATTATTTGGACTATTTAAACCCCTCTGTTCCACACATATGATGCTGAGTAATGTTTAGCTGTTGCTGTCCATACATAAGCGGTTTCCCTTGTTTCCTGTTGCCTGTGTTTTTGACTTTTGGACTGATTATCGTGTTTTGACCCTTTTCTGCCTGCCCCAAACCTTTTGCCTGTTTTATTGGATTTGCTTCTGGATTGCCTACTACACTGTTTATGCTGGTATTTGACCCTTGCCTGATTGACCATTCTTATAATAAAGCTGCATTTGGAACTACCCCAGTTTGTATAGCATCCCTTTCGCAACATCAATATTGGAGTTACCTTTGCACGCTGGAGAAAGGATGACACAATGTCTGAAGGATTTCTCTTAGACAGGTAATATTCTGTTTTAAAACTGTTTTAGCTTCACGCAAAGCTGATGTAATGTTAAATGTTGTTGTCACAAATGGGTTATATCTTCACAGAAGTGTTGTTCACAAAAATCTTCAGATGAAAGATTGATAAGACTATTTTCAGTTTCATAAAGGACCTTTTGCAGCATTGCCGGCAGCTAGCTCTCTGCAACTCTCACATGGTCGCCCACTGAAGCTAAGCAGGGCTGTGCCCGGTCAGTGTCTGAATGGGAGACCACATGGGAAAGCTAGGTTGGTGTTAGTGAGGCCAGCAGGGGGTGCCCAACCTGCAGTCTGTGTGGGTCCTAATGCCCCAGTATAGTGACAGGGACGCTATACTGCTCAGTGAGCACCGTCTTTCGGATGAGACGTTAAACTGAGGTCCCGTTAAAAATCCCAGGATGTCCTTCGAAAAGAGTAGGGGTTTAACCTCGGCATCCTGGCCAAATCTGCTCACTGGCCTCTGTCCATCATGGGCTCCTAACCATCCCCATATTCAATTGGCTTCATCTCTGCCTCCTCTCCACCAATCAGCTGGTGTGTGGTGTGCAGTCTGGCGCAAAATAGCTGCCGTCGCGTCATCCAGGTGAATGATACACACTGGTGGTGGATGAGGAGATTCCCCCCTATGTGTAAAGCGCTTTGAGTGCCCAGAAAAGCGCTATATAAATGTATGGAATTATTATTATTATTATCATTATTATTATCATTGAGTATGTTGATTTTAGTTCGTTGAAAAATCAACAAAACACAAAAACTGCTATTCCACCTAGTCACTCCCTATATTGTTAACCATGTAACTTTAATATTCACTCTGAAATTGCATGTCAGTTTGGCTTGCATGCCATCGGACAAGCACTTGTCGCTTTTAACACACGAGAGTTCTTTTGCTGTGCTCATGTTTAAGGAGGCATGGCTCTAGACGGCAGGGGAGGGACTGTGATTCAGAGATTTATGCTAAGCTGTTAGCATTGTGGAAGATCACCTATTGCACCTTTAAGGTGTTTAAGTTGCAACAATGTACTAAAAATTGACAAGATTTTTTTCACATACATGAAAAGTCCCATGTGAACTGTAAAAAAGGTTAAAATATAGTTACCCACAATTTGTGACTGATGAGTGTTTTGATTTAATCCCCCCATTGACTTCCATTTATACACATGCGAATGAGCCAGACCAAAAATGCAACTTCATGCAGCAAGTTTCACACATCACTGCATTCCAAAATTAAAGCTTTGTGAACTCTGACCTGAAAATTTGTGTCATGTAAATGTGCAAGACCAACAGGAGATCATATGTGGCCTCTGTACAAAAATGTTAAATATGGAGCAATCAATTGAAAGGGGCGCATCATCTTGTTTTATCCTGCCCCTTTTGATAGAATTTTGCATGCTGCAACTGAAGTCAGATGTATTTTTGTATTTCTCTTCTAAGGTCCTCCTTGTTACAAGCAGGTGTTCATCACTAATGTTTAATCAACAATCAATTAATCACTTCAACAATGTGTCTTTGTTCTTGAATTAGTTTTTTTTAATAATTGAAATAACATTATTAGAGCGGTCACACTGCACTTTTCTCCTCATAGACTTCCATTGATACGTATGTAAATGCATCAGACCGGAAACGCGAGCACCTGCGACAGGTTTCGCAGTTCACTGGATTGCAAAGTTCAAGCTTGGTGAGTTCTGACTTGCGAAATCGCATCCCTTGACTGCATGAGACCAATCGTGGATCAAAACATGCCTTCTCTGGACAGATATTTAAAATATGGACCAATCGCTCGCTTTTTAAAGTGTCTAATCATCTTGTTTAATTCTGCCCCTTTTCGCCGTACGTCAGAATTTCGCATGCAAAAACTCTAGTGTGTCCGCAGCATAAGTTTTACCCTTTTCTCTTTTGATTCAGTGATTGCCTGCCATTAGGGACATAATTAATTGGATGCGAATTTCTCCAAGTAGGTATTGCTGCAGCTCAGAGGCTTCCAAGTGGGAGGGATTACACTGCAAGTGAGCTGGATGACCTCCAAGTGGGAGGGACTTACGCCACAAGTAGGCTGGATTTAGGGTCGGTGTAGACAAGGAGTGTCCCAACTTGGTCCCGGAGGGCGGTGTGCTGCTGAGTTTAGCTCCTACTTGCTTCAACACAAGTGACAGGAGGTTTCTAGTATATCTAGTAGGAGCTTGATTAAGTGGTTTAGGTGTGTTGAATTAGGGTTGGAGCTAAACTTTCCAGGACACCAGTTCTTCAGGACCGAGTTTGGAGACTTTTGGTGTAGACGTTAATAAAACACTACAGGTTACGGTAAGGTTGGGTAGGTATAGACCAGGGGTGCCCAAACTTGGTCCTGGAGGGCTTGTGTCCTGCCGAGTTTTGCGAGAAACTTGCGACAACACACCTGCCAGAAGGTTTCTAATACGCCTAGTAAAGCTGCTGTCACACTAGAGTATGTGTGTGCGAAATTCTGTCGTACGGCGCAGTGAAAAGTGGCAGGATTAAACAAGATGATTAGACATTTAAAAAAGCAAGGAGTCGCTCCATATTTTCAATTTCTCTCCAGAGAGATCATGTTTTGATCCTCAATTGGTCTCACGCAGTCAAGCGATGCGATTTCTCAGGTTAGAATTCACCAAGCTTGAACTTTGCACTGCAGTGGTCTGCAAAACTTGACGCAGGAACTTGCGTTTCTGGTCTGAGGCATTCTCGTGCAGATGAATGGAAGTCTATGGGGAGAAAAGTCCCATGTGACTGCAGCTTAAGAGCTTGATTAGCTGGTTTAGGTGTGTCTAGTTGGGGTTGGAGCTAAACTCTGCAGAGTTTGGGGACCCCTGGTATAGACATAAAAAAACAGGTTGGATTCTGTGTCACGTATAAGAGATTAAATAAATGAAAGCTTTAGGAGGTTTGTACAGCCCACTTGGAACTCAAGTCCCAGCCATTTGGAGCTAACCAGCCTATTTGGCACTGCCACAGATCTCCATTTATCCCTTCTCAATTCACCTGTCAAATATAGAAATTCGTTGACTGTATCATCTTCACCAGTTTTTGCATAACAGTGGTCTGGTTCACATGTGCACTTTGTTTGCTATCAGTCATTCAATTTCATTAATATTACATTATATACTGTATATGCACGAGTAAGTTATATTATTTAATCTTTACTTCTAAATGAGCAAATTAGTTATAATATTGTATCCATCAAATAGATGTTTGTCTACCTACAGTATGTTGCAGCATTCAAACTCTATTT